ACTGGAAGCGCTCTTCTGCCGAGTGTTTAACGAAAATTCCACACGTTTCGAGGTAGGCGAGAGAAGAGATCGCCGTTGCTGTTACCATTACCTGAGTGTAAAATCATTCCTGTTCCCGGTTTTTCCGGTTCCCGCGGAACAACGTAAATCTGCCGTTATTTAGGCGTAACACCAAGTCGTCTAGCGCGGTGAATTCGAACGCGAATGATGGATTAATCGAATTAATTCGTCGTACCGTATTATTTCACGGTTTGTCGTCCCGTAGACGGAATTACCGCGTACGGAGGAATACGCGTGGTGAGAATGGCGCGACGGCCACCGGCTGCTGATGTTCCCCGATGGGTAAATTGGCCGTGCGCCAGATTACTTCCAGAGACAGGAGAAAAAGAATCAGTGGAACGAGACGGTTTTAACCAGCCCGCCTCGCTGCAACCGGATACGACAATTACGAAGAGATATTTCATCGGTGGAATGGCTAATACACCTTCTCCGGTTTTCCTGTCAACCGTTCTATTAACAAGCTCACATTTTTCGCGGGTTGTTTAAGGACGCTGTTTCGAGGAATTCGAGGGTCTCTATAATTTGCTTTTTCATTCTTTGAATATCTTTGTTAGGAGTGTTTAAGAGCTTTAACACTATCAAGGTACTGTCGAAGCATCGCCCAATATTCTTTGAATTATTTTCACTTACATTCTTAATATCTATACTTTTTGCAGTTAATTAATACGATAGATGCCTGCACTTATGCACACCTAATATTTATTAAATATTCAAACTGTATAGTTTTTATGATGCATTATACGTAGATAATAGTAAGTAGTTCTATCACAGATAGATGCGTCACAGATATGTGACGCTGGTAGCGAACGTGCTAATTCTGCTTTAATTTGCGTGGAGGAATGTACAGGGGGTTTCGTTTAAAGGGGTCAAGGGAAGATTTAAAGGGGTGTGTGTAAACAATGTCGAAAAAAATTATTCTAATACGTGTCTTGCTTGAAATTATGCAACTTCTGTTTTCGAGTAATTTTTGGTCGTTGTGTTATGTATAGGGTGGTTCACGAAATGGGAACATGTCACATATGTTTTTTGGTTGATAAAAGAATTTTAGAGGAAAAAGGTGAAGACTGTATATTTTACAGTTGCTATATTTTTTTAAACGAAAACATACGGTGTGAACAGGTATGAATAAATATAAGAACTGACGGTAGTTCAGTTGTCAAAGTGTACCTATTATTTTTTAGACAGTTCTCTCGAAGTAATTGAAAGAATATTTAACAAAATTTCAGCGAATGTATAAAATTTTTCTGTAAAAGTACCTTGCTGTTACTAAAAACTAGAAATAATCCTGTCACATCAAATTCCAGAATTTTCTAGGATTTCCCTCTTTTACCCTGATATTTCAAATTGCAAGAATCTTCACGTTCAATTTTGCAATTTGCCCAAGTTTCCAACTACTCGCTAATATTTCATCCACCGTTCGTCCCGTGAAACGAGACCGTCTTTACAAGTCAAACGAAATCCGTCTTCTTTCCGTATGCCGTTTCTCGTGTCCCGTTAGAAGCGAGTTTTTCGCAACGGTCGCCGTGTCCGACGACCAAACTCTCGCCTGAATACGTATATACAAAGTATCCTGTGTGTACAAGGAAGCGCTAGGCAAGTTTCCTTGACGAACCATCGATCTGTGAAACTCGGCGAGAAGACCACCCGCGTTCGAGGGCCCTCGAGAAATCTTCACGAACACCGTACACCTCTCTTCATGGATACTCCATTACGTCATTCCTGTCTGCATCGTCGCCTCGCGGCTCTTTAAAAGCCGGAAATCTTTGGCAACTTAATTGTTCCGCTGTTAGACGAACATCCTACGGGATTGAAGCAACGTCGATCAACGGAATTAAAGGTCGAACGGAATATTTTTATCAGGTTGCGCAACTGTTGCTTGTGCGATCGTACTGTTCGATCGTTCGTCAGGATTGTAAGTAGTGATTAAAGGTAACAATCGTTCCACCATTTGTCCCGCTCATTCGTCAATTACGCAATTCAGGGGATTATCGACACTTTAACTGGTCGAGTAATTTCGAGAATTGGTCTATGGACGTATTTTTAGGACGAGGAAAAATGTGTATTACTATGTCGTGTGATTTACCGTGTTTGATGAATTAATTCCTGCAAAGTCACAAAGTCGCGGAATTCCTGAAGGGAGAAGTACAGAAATTTTCGGAAGGTTCGAAAGAAATTGTGAATAATGGTAGAGAATTTTTTTTTTAAATAGTAGATATTTTTTTTTTTAACGACATAAACTGTTAAATTATAATCTGTTATATCAAATAACTATAAATCATTTTTTTGTTGACAGCAAAGGGTTAGTAAGCACCCGCTTGTGCTTCATCCTCTGGATTTAGTAGAGTCATTGATTAATTCATATTAAATACTTAGAAAACAACAGAAATTTTTCGCACAAACTTGTGGTCCAACCTAATAAACATATTCCCAAAACGCAGTCAAACTGCTAATAATCCATTTCACGAAGAATTACCGTGAAACTACCTTAAAAATCGCACTTTTCAACAAATTCCATCCAAGTATCAGCGTTATTCGCCGTCCGAGCCGAGGCTTCCTCGGTTCACGCGTATTATTCAAATGCGCGGAGAGCCAGAGAGAAGATAAACGTAGGAGGGAATCGCGCGAATATAGAAAAAGAGAGAAAAACTCGTGTCTTTTGATGAGACACGGTCGCTAGGTACTCCATGTGGCATGGACTGCTACTCGTCGTCGTTCCAAAAGGGGACAAAAATACGACGTGGAGTAATTTTAAAGTTGCGCCACAACGTCTCGAGGCTTGACATTGTTGGGATCCACATGCGAACGAGCACGGAAAAATATTCTTGGGACGAATGTAAGCGGAGAAAAGCGTGCATAATAGCCGGCGCCGTGAAGACGAGACGAAATTATTACCGTGTCCTAGGTGACAAAGAATCCTCACCTCGGCCTTCGTACTCACGAAACGTGGAACTGGGTCAGATATACGTGTATATGTGTGCTGTAGGGCTCTTGCCTGTTCCCCTACGATGGCAGTCGCGGAGAACGCGCGAATTCAAGACCTTAGCGTAGCATTGTCAACGAGAATATCCCGAGACGTGATATCGTTTTCCAGCAACTCGGAAATCCATCGCAAAAGTTCGCGGAATTAATTGCGTCCCGGTATTTTCTTTCGGTAACAACTTCAATTGAGTTCGAAGCGGTTCCGGCTGTTGCTGTTTCCTCCGAGGATAAGCAAGTAAGGGTGGTTCGAGGAGAAGGGAATTTTGTGTCGTTTCAATTACAGTTTTCATGGGATTAAGGATGATTTGAGGTGGTACCGTTATTATAACGAAATTCGTCTCAGAAAGGGATGGAATTTTTTTAAATAATTTTATCAATCACTATCATTGTGCGAGAATGTGTCATCGCTCTGTAACTCGGTTTGCCTTCGTTCATAAAAAGAAAGATTGAGATAGATTGCAATTTTATATTTCGTTCGATTAAGCAAGGATTGATAATTGTTATAAAAAACGTTTGAAGGTAGTAATGCAATAGTATAGCGATGAAAAAATAAAATATAAATGGACGCGTAATTTCCGAGTCACGGATCAAGAATTAAAAGAATTTTTTATTAATCGTTAGACAAGTAATTTACTTTAAAAATGAAATATTACTTATACGGCAGATTTCGACAGAAGGAAAATTAAGGTAGATTGCAATTCTGGCAAGAATTAATAATTATAACAAAAAAATTTCGAGTTAAAAGAGTTTTTCCCAGAAGATTCACAAAACGTGTTTAACCAGTTCCTTCCAAGCTAATCCTAATCACGCCAAATTCGTCCCTATTCGATCCTACACTATTTCCCACTCACTGTCACCGCGGCGAAGTTTCGTTCCGCATTTCTAGGCTGTTTCACCTGCGAATTCGTGCAGCCTTCGTTGCGGTGGCCGTCTAGCCAGGATTTACAGAGGATTTGCCGGAGTTACGAGGCGGCTGGTGCATCGCGGTGACAACGATGCAACGTTCGAAAGCCAGGGCGAATGCAACGCGATGCACTCCGCATCGGCACGCGTATTTTATGCGTGACGCAGGATCGCACTGAATGGACAGTCGCTGCGGAAAGGATGCGGTTAACCTCGCTAGTTTCGTGTTTCCTACGAAGGTGAAACTCTCATGCACACACACTCGCGACGATCATTCACGAGGCATCTGGAAATATTACCTTTTTTTTTTTTCACGTCGATAAACCACACGGGTGATTTTTCCATATCAGGAAAGAAAAAGAAATGAAATTTCCCAGGGGAATAATTTCGAACACGTCGTTCTTTACGAATAACAAATAATTCATCTTCCACGAGTGCGAACCATAGTAACTACACGCTAAGTATAGTTTGATCCATGCTAATGATCAACAGTAGCTACTTTTGTCCAAGGCTCGTCCATGACGCAGGCAACAACATTAAAAGCTGTTCCATGGAAGCGTCATTACCATTTATATTACGATAAATTTAAAATTGAAAACAGTCGTTCCAAGACTACACGAAGATAGATCGCCCGCGCTACGTAATACCGTTTCACGAAAAGCCGCGTAAATTGGATCGTAAAGTAACTTTACTCGAAGGCCATCTATTTTAACCTAATAGAAACGCATTCTTCTTCTTCTTCCTCCTTGTAACAAGCCAAATGATAGAAAACGCATTGCCTTGATGTATATACGATCGTTTGCTCCGTTATTTTCATACACTCTAACGACGTCTCGAAATATATTTCAACCGGTTAGACGATTAGAATCGTTTCTCGATTTAAAGATTGCACACACACACCTAGATTTCCCCTTTCTCGATAGAACGCATTACAACAACCATCTCTCTCCTCAGACGCTCGTTTCTCACCGATAATCGCGCGCAAGTCCACCGTAAAATCATCTTCAACCCTTTCTCCGTTCGAGATAATTGCCGACGAAAATTTAACGCTCGCGCACGAGCTCTGCCTCTCTTTACGGATGTTTATATCGTCCGCTCGCGGCAGGAGAAGTACAGAGAGGAGATCTTCCCTGTCCTCCCCTCTGTCTCCTGTGCACCACAGGCAGGTTCTTCCAAGACCAGTTTTTCTTTAATGCCGCACGCCGGTGCGGCTCTCTTCATGAAGCAGTTTCTGCTGAAGCAGACAATGGACGATGCGAACGAGGCAGCCTCGGGGGGCTCGTATTTCATTGATATTGCATCGTGAATTCCCGACCTAAATCACATTCTGATAGCCAACCAACCCTCCGCTTCTCTCTCATTCTCCTTCCTCTCGCCTATATTTTTGCCACCCCTTTTCTAACCCTTTCTCTCTCTCTCTCCCTCTCTTGTTATTCGTAAACTCCTCCCACCCTTACTTTTCCCTCACCGTGTATCACATCGCGAAATTATTCACAAGCGGAGCCCTCGAGGAAACTCGGAGGAACTCGAGCCGCCTCCTGCCGAAGGCTTTCATTCGACATCTTTCCACGTTGCATCTGTTCACAGCCGTTTCTTCTGCCGTGATCGCGTGCTTGAATATTCCATTCGGACCTCCTTACCGGCTCATTATGGCGCAACATTTATGCAGCGTGTATTTTATACGCGTCTAGTCTCGTACCTCCGAGCACGATGCTCGTTTCGCCTGACAAATCGTTTCTTTCGTGTATTACGTGATACACCTACCGTTCCTCTCACGTGTTGCGCAATCCTAGGCTAGATTTAATTTCACGCTTATCGTAATCGGGAAGTAGAGAGAGAGAGAGAGGGAGAGCTGAGAATGGGAATGAAATTAAACGTCGGAGGCGGCGAGTGATTTAGTTCGCTTCTGTGCTATTGTTACAGCGACTGCACGAAGAGTTGAAGGATTCTCACAATTTTTTCTTATTATTCCAAGAGAAGAAGTTGTTTCCACGTGAATTTTCATTGATACCCTAATCAGACGAGACCGTACCATACGAAAAGTTTGTTCCTTCCTGGCTAACGGAAGGACGATTAATCTTCGTTCCCGTCGAATTAATAATTCATCCTAAACCACCCTTTAGGCTTTCACGATTAATCGTCTTCACGCCTAGACTTCCTCTTCTCTCTCTTCCGTGCTATTTCCCATCGTTCGTCTTCCCCCGCGCCTCCTCTCTTTGAGAAATTATGCACGAGCCTTCTCAGAAACACAAGATGCGAGAAACCATTTCCACCCATTATCTCCCGGTTGAAGGAAGAAACGAACGGAGAAGTCCGGTACGTTCAGACATTAACTAAACAAGCGCACAGGACTCGTCTGTCCTGTTTAAATTCATACGAACGAAATAACTTATTCCACCTCGTCCTACCTTTTTTCTGTTTGAACAACGAATTGCCCGTGCACTAAGCTGTTTTCATTTCACCGTCACCTCGGCTATGTCTATCCTCTCTTCTTGTTCCGCTCGTTTTTCCCCATTTCGTCCCCGTCGTTCGAATCGCGGCGAGGAATTATTCGAGCAAAGAACCTCGGGGAAAAAGTGGATCGAGAATTCTTTTTATCGCGGGCATCTGTTTCGAGATCTCTTTTATAGGCGGGAGAGACTGTTATGGGCCGAGCAATCTATTGATTGAAATAATGGGTAGCATTTCACGAAGCCTCTTTAGACGTTCGATCGTGCAAGGTAATGAATGATCAAATTGCCTTCCCAACCGATCCTATTATTCAACCATTTCTTTCGTCGTGTCCCTTCCATTTTCTCCGTCTCGTCGATAGGCTTGATTTCCTTCTTCGATATAAATTACCGAATGAAAAGCGTAATTGCGATCGAACAGAAAAAAAAAGGAAAAAAACCGATATCAAAACCTGTTCCCACGTTTTCCTTCTTTCTTTCTCGAATTAATTAACCGGTAACGACAAAAATATCGTCGACCGTTAAAACACCACGATCGTTCGCATCTTTATAGTAGACGAGCGAGGGAGAGAGAGAGAGAGAGAGCTAATTAAGCGAGAGGATCAACGAACACAGTTTTTTTCGGCGCTCGTTTAATTTCACTCGCAGGCTGTAATTATTCCGTTCTTGTTAACAGAAAAAGCGTGATTAAAGAGAGGGTCAAGAATCGACGGGCGACGACGTCGTCGGTTTGTAGACATTTCTGATCCACCCTGCTGACGCGTACGAAGTTAATTAGCGCCGAGTCACCCCTCCTCTAGCCGCCCTTACGACGAAAACCGTTTTCCGATATGAAAGATCGATCACCTGCGCACGTTTTCACGACAGAGAGATTATCACTCTGAATCTAACTTCGGCGGGACTACAAATTACCTAGAGAACGCTTTCCTTCGATTCCAACAGATTTCACAAGTTTATCGTCGCGCGAGAAATTTCACCGTTCCAACAGAAACAAGCTAAATCTCTCTCTCTCTCTAAACGTTGAAAAATTCTGTTTAAATTGTAGAGCAATAATAACTCGCGTTAGCGTCCCGAAAGCTGTATTTTCCTGCAAGGATCGCAAAATACCAGTAGTTCGCTAATAAAATTCAGGCAAACAACGCAAATTGGTGGAATAAACGGTTTCGCTCTGGAGTTCGGTTAATCACGTTCGAAATAACCCCACTAATGACTCGAACGTGATTTTATAAGCGTGTGTGTGTGTGTGTGTGTGTGTATGTTGAACCGCTTCTAGCACGGAACAATGCATCACCGCCAACTTTTCATCGGGCAATTAATAAAACGAAATTTACTTAAAACCAGTCTAACGGTGTTAGACACGTTTACACAAACGGGGCTCTCCCCTCAACTTCGCGTTCGCGTTTCAACGCCGCTTAACACGATTCGTTTGGCCGCGTTCACGGTAGAATCTCGTGCCAGCCAGCCGTGAATGGATTCGATTAATTTGGTCAGCGTGTCTCGATGGAAAGTTCTTAACGTTTTCAACATCGAACCGTCCTTTTTTTCCCTCCATGTTTCGTTACGTGTGTGTGCGGTACAAAGTGTTTATCGATCGCGGGAGAAATAACAGGTAGTAGAAGTCGCGGGATTCGTTTCTTTTCTTCTCTCCGGTGAAAATGTTGCGCGAGGAACAGCTCGCCTGTGTAATTACGTCGCGTGCCGAACGAAAACACGACGATGCTCGGCGAAATTTATAACGCGAGGTTGCACCAACTCTCGCGAGATCTTTTCGCCAGAATGTGAAATATCGCGTCGCGATAACACGACGAATATGGAATTTAATAATGTGCACATGCGAACCTCGCCGCAACTTTGTATCAACGTACCTTTATTCGACAACGTTCGATGCTTGTTTAACTTGCCGCTCCCTTGTGCACGTTTAAGTCGAGTGTTCATAGCGAGTGTGTTAAAAACACGTGCAATTTCTTCTCCAAGATTTGATAATATGTGAAGTGGAGGTTCGCGTGAAAGAGAGTACCTTCGTTGGGAGATATCAACTAGCTGACGTCGAGTGTACACAAAGTGGTATAATTTTATGGAATAGCAATTTTTCAACGATAACCAGAATTGTCGCCCACTTTATCGTCCAATTTTAGTAGTTTTCTGATTAAAAAATACTAGGATAGGAAATGTGCGAAATAACAACGATCCGGCCGGATATTTCAATCTTTTACCGGGAGGATCAAATATTTCAAGTGAAAATTATGCAAATGAGCACGCGGTTATTGGCACAAGGGTTAAATAGAACGAATCTGAACTTCTCGTGAATTATCGAACAATCTTCGACTTCTGTCGAAATATTCCACAGCGTTAAGTTCACTATCGTCCAAATCCCCCCGAATACCGCGTTAAACGCACAACCTCAGAACGACAACAGAGCATAAGGACACTTCGTGTGTGTCCCGAGTGTTGTCGTTCTAAAAGTCACGCGAACCATTGGAATACGCGTACATTCTCCAGCGATGATAAGGGAGAGAGAAAGAAAAAGAAAAAAAAAAGAAAAGAAGGTAGAGAAAAAGGTTGTTGAACTCTTACTTGTTGGTCTTGGCTCGAGCCATGTTGTCCCAGCTACGAGCAGGGTAGTTCAGCTTGCTAAAGGACAATTCCCTCGATAAATAGGCGGAGCAGTGCCAGCTGTGTCTCCAAAAGATACTTCCGCTCACCCTTTCACGGTTCTTCAACGACGACACCACACCTTTCTCACTCATTTCACTCGGCGAACAATTTTATCGGCCGCCTCCCC